GTGTTTTTTTGTTTTTGTTTTTTTGTTTTTTTTTTTTATTAAACAGTATTAATTACATTTACCGATCTGAATGTTCGAAAAATTTCTTAGAGTATAATATAATATAATAAAATATAATTTCCATTTTTTACCTCTTTGGTCAGTTTTGCCCTGACGATCCGTTTACGTGAAACCTAGGTAGGTTTACCTGGCTCTTTAGGTTTATATTAATTTGCTGTACTTCGTGTATTGAGCACTTTCGTAGTTAACATCTTTTTGGAGGTTTTTTTTTTTCTTTGGACTCTGGACGATTGTTTTCGCCTCAATTTCATGTTCTTAGTTCTTTCTTTTTTTTATTCTACATTTTTCCTTGGCTACTGGTTTTGTTCCACTACAAACCGAAATACCAAGGTTTTTTCCAAGCGAGTACCACTATTGTTATATTTGTAATATAAACGTTTATTTATGCCTATTCCGGAGAGAAGATTCGGAGGAAAATGGACTAAAAATAAGAATTTAGTGAGTTTGTGTGTTGTTCTTTGTGATGATGCGTACATGTGGTTTATTCCGGGGGTTTTATATTCTAAAGTGGACACTGAACTCTTTTAATCTTTTTAAATAAAATCAAGTCTGTATCCTCTTTTTGTTATTGTTTTTGTTTTTTTTTTCTTGTGGATCTTTGAATGATAGACATCAAAAACAACAAATCTCCTAAGAGTCAGACGTTTACTACTACAAAAGTTGAGGCTTCAGATACAGATTAAAAAACAACAAACTCTCGAAGGATTTTGAAATCGCTTCATTACTTCCGAGAAATTTCGATGATTGATTTCTCTTTCCCGCGCTTTTTTTTTCATATCGTTTTACACCAATCATTCCCCACTGTATGTGCTTTGTGTTTGCCTCTGAAAAGGGTTTTTTATACGTTTTCATTTTTTATTAATTAATTTATTTCGGATAATGTGGTTCAGTCTTTCTTTTCTTTTCTTTTTTCTTTTCTTCGGCACAATGGTACTCTGTCCATTGCACTGGACAATCAAACTGTGTTACTTTTTTCAAAGCTAATCTCATGAGGTCTTCCTTCAACCTCTTTTCCTGATCGTCACTGAACTTTCACCTTTTACGCTCTCAAGACGCATCTTTAAATTTGGATGGCTTACGTTGAAATACCGGTTTTCGTACGATCACCAAAGTTAAGCAACGTCGAGACTGGTCAATACCTAGATGGGTAACCGCTTGGGTATAACAAGTGCTGTAAGCTTGGATGTGCGGGTTTGTGCAATGGATGATGGTTCGGAATTGTGAATCGGAGAGAACCGAGTTCCAATTCCCGTTGGGTTCGTTATATTCACTTACGCGTAAATATTCTTGGTAAAGGTAAGGACTCGACTCTTCTTCTCCTCTACTATGGGTTGCATCGATAAACCATTATTATGTCCCCCTCCAACCAAAAAAAAAAAAATCTTACAATTTAAAAATTTTCTCTGGCTTTAAATAACCTGTGTTGATATGCTGTAAAAATGAATCGATGAATCAATTTAAATTTGGGAAAAACATAGCACTAGGAACAAGAATAAAAATTCTTAAGCTTTTGGGCAATGCGTACCTGAACAATTTTAACCTTTCTGCCTGAGCTCCTGAGTTAAAATTCGCAAATAATTGGATGTAATGTTTCACGGTAGATATAAAAATACAGTGTAACCCGGATATAAGAGACCCGGATATAAGAGAAACCCGGATATAAGAGAGATTTTCTCTGGTCCCAAATTAGAGCCTGTGTTAATGTATATAAAATAGACCAAACCCGGATATAAGAGAAACCCGGATATAAGAGACTTCTCCGGTCCCGACAACTCTCTTATATCCGGGTTACACTGTAGTTACAAATAATATAACTTCCTGATTGTTTCCCTGACAGTCCAAGTTGAGAGTCTAAGATTTTTCCGAGCAGAGCGATTTGGTTTAATTCTTCTGTTATTTTCCTAGTAGAGGTGAGAGGTATGTGTTCCTTATTTTAATCAATCCTAATAACTTAACCCTTTGATCCCTGCGTTCCTGAACAATTTTAACTCTTCTGTCTGAGCTGCTGAGTCAAAATTCGCAAATAATTGGTATAGAATGTTTCACGTAAGTGTTTACCCACCGTTCAACCGGTGGCTGACCATTAAGTCATTTTTCTCTACCACCGGTAAAGCGGTGGTCAGGGCTCAAAGGCCTAAAGAAATTGTTTTTTGTTTCTAAACCCAAAGAGTTTAGCACTAGGCATTAATTTCTTCTTCTTCTTCTTCTTCTTCTTCTTCTTCTTCTTCTTCTTCTTCCTCCTCCTCCTTCTTCTTCTTCTTCTTCTTCTTCTTCTTCTTATTATTATTATTATTATTATTATTATTATTGTAATAGTAGTAATACTGAGTGACAGAGCATTATATCAACAAAGTGATACAGAGGTGAACATATACCCACCCTTACAGCCAATCTGATAAGGGTATACTAGGCACTTGGGTCACAGCACATAGCCGTCAGGTCATGTAACCCAGTCCACCCCGATTGATTTAGGGTTATCCCAATTATCTACTTATGACTCCCAAGTCGCCTTGGCTGACTGATCCTTCAAACTTAGAAACAAAAAACTCCCGCCACCCGGCCATGATGCACCCCCAAGTACCCCTAATACATGAAGAGAAATACATAAAGCATCAAGGCCTAGGTGTGTGGGTGGGTGCCTAATTTGTTAAAGTCAGGCAACTGACAAGCAAATGGGTAGTATTGAATGTGTTATTTTCAGTGGCTCATATTAATTCACTATAATTCATATATATATATATATATATATATATTAAGACATTTTTATGTTTATACGTTCTTTTTATAGATACAAATATTTAAGTAAATGCTCTGTTTATAATAAACACTATTAATAACATTTACCGGACTGAATGTCTGAGAAATCTTCATAGAAAATATTCGTCCTCAGACAGGAATCGAATATGTATCCTATACGGAACCGTCATCCACAGAGGATCGTTCGATTAGCAAGGTCGATTTTACTGATATATATACAATATATGAATATATTATATATATATATATATATATATATATATATATATGTAGGGCATTCAAGTTGGTAAATGTTATTAATACTGTTTATTATAAACAGAGCATTTACTTGAATATTTGTATCTATAAAAAGAATGTATAAACATAAAAAATGTCTTAAAATAATTGTCGGACTTTGTCCATTTCATAATGTGTGGTGTCATTTGTTTACATTTGGATACGCTTTGAGCAGATATGAATGTACGTGAGAGATTCATGGAAGATTGTAGTTTAAAGGCAGTAAAATCGAGATTAGCAAAATCGTTAAGGCACGTCAAGCTATATGACAGTTCCTGTCGGAGGACAAATATTTTCTATGAAAATTTCTTGGTCATTCTAACTTTTAACCATCACACCACCTGTACAAATTAGCCTGAACTTAAAAATTATATTCTGAGGGTAATGTTACCATTACTACGTGGAGAGCCGCCATAATCATATCTTATAAGCCGGTAAATCTTTTATGAAGACTGAGAATTTTAATAATTCAAAATCTTTGCCTCTGAAATTTCGATCTGTTGAGTTTTTTTTTTTTTTTTTTTTTTACATTTTTACAGTTTGATTCTTAAATGGGACCTTTTCTGTTAATTCACTCCAAATAATGTAAAGTTACTTATCGCAAATATTAATTCACCCCAAGAAATTATAAACTTTGAATCAAAATTTGTTTGGCATTTTATTAAATTTTTGACACACTTTTGAAATTATAAATTTTAAATCAAAGTATTGTTTGTTTGTTTTTTATTAAATGAAAAAAAATAAAAAAAACAGGGAGTTATTCACATTTCACAAGTGTGGATGATATTCGAGGTACTTACAAGGAATTTTTTACAATTTAAAAAAAAATCTGTTTTTGGCTGGTTTATTGGGGTGAGCGCGATGCAGACCCCACACTTAGAAATAGCGCCCCCGCGTCGCCCATATTTGGGACGATCGCAAAAGTCAACTCAACCGAAATGCAATAGAAGAGCCTCGCTCCGGGAGAATTTAGTGTGAATTTTAATAAATATAAATTCTTTTTATTTTGGGGTGAATTAATATTTTTGGGTGATTTAACAGAAAAGATCCCTTAAATAAATAAACAGTTGGCCAAATTGACGTTGCGTTATCGTCTGCTTCTCCATCCAGAGAAGAACGTTAACAAACTGAACCGCCTATTTTGTGGTTGTCCTTTGATGCATTTGCCCTGCGTTGAAAGGGTTAATGGAAGATTGATTAAAAACACAGACGCTAGAATTGACCCAAGTCGTGAAAAAGGCACATTAATCAAATTTCTGTTGCTTATCTTACTGTTCAGGTATTTAGAAAACTTTTATCTACAGCTGTTCCACTGTACATCTCTCTTTACACATGATACTTTTATATTCATTTTATGCTGGCTTTGAGTACAAAACCGAATTTCAATGCATCGGTTGTATTTTAATGTCCCTATTTATGACGACGGGCTTGTCTCGTTCGAGGAGAAGAATATTTCTTTATTTACTTTAAGGAAATCTTAGGGGGTCAGAAAATGGCAGGAATTTTCTTCTATAGAATCTTATAAAAGCAAGAGATAAACATTTCAAAATTAATTGACCATTTTTCGTCTCATGAATTCAAGTGGACATTTTTATAGATCAAGCACTTTAGGTGAATTGAAGCCAATTTTTCAAGGAGGGAACGATAGAAAAGAAAATTTTATTATCTTTGAATTTATTTCATAATTAAACAACGCCATTTAATAGTACGAAAATGCTAAAATGTTTGGATGGCAGAATTCTTGAATTTGTTTGTTTGATTTGATTGTTTAACGGCACATCAACTCCTTATGGGTCATTTACTGCCGAAATATAATTTTCTTGGGAAATTTGAAGTAATAAAAATATGTTATTCTACTTTCACAATTGAATACATGGTAGATGATACTCAGCTTAAACATAATTACTAGAGGCAGTGATATGGCTGTTTTATGTTGTAGTTTTGTTGAAGTTATATTTTGGAATACAGTTTGATTTAAGTAAGAATTTATTGGATATTATAAGGATTAATGCCATGAAAGTTCTTTATGCTGCTTGTCTGGTAGTATTTTAAACGGATTTGGGTGAAGTCGCTACAATTTGTTAGTATGTGCGTATTGTTGGTAATTTTACTATAAATTGATATTGTTAGTATTTTCTTATATAAGAATATATTGCCTTGACCGCCTTTCAGGACTCAAATGCACTCTCAGACCTCAAGTCGAAGTGATATATACAATCCATTGCCAGAAATTCTTGTTGATTTGATTTGATTGTATATCAATTCCTTATGGGTCAGTTAATGCCGAAATTTAATTTTCTTGTGAGTTTTGAAGTAATCAGAATAGTATATACGTTATTCTGCTTTCACAATTGAATACATGGTAGATGATACTCAGATTTTGTGCATAAACATGTTTGTGTGAACATAATTTCAAGAGGCGGTTATATGTGTGTATGTTGTAGTTTTTTTTAAAATTGTACTTGGAAATACAGTTTGATTTCTTTAATTGTAGTATATTATATGGATTAATGTCATGAAAAGTTCTTTCTTGTTGATTGATATACTGTTGGAAATTATTCTATAAATATGTATTATTGGTATTTTTTATATAAAAATCTAGTGCTGGTATTTCTACTATAAAAATGTATTTTTTATACTTCCCTAGTATTTTGATTATTGTTTGATGGCTCACTCATTGACAATAGCTGGGACGCTAATAGGTGTTACTTCTCCAGGTCAGTGTGAACCTAGGAACAACAGCAATTAAAAGGTCGTTCCACGCTCCTCAAAACCTTCAACCTCCCGATCAGAGACCTCGCATCCAGATGTAGTTTATCGTGATACTCAGGACTTCTTGAATTCGTCAAGTTTCGTTTTACCAAAATTAAAAATGTACTCTACACTCAGAAATTAACTTTCGAATAGGAGTGTAATGAGTTCTTTAAATGAAATAATAAAAACATAAACATTATCGGAGATCATCGAAATGAAATTTCCTTATGTCCCGTACCATAACCTACCCCACCATGCAAAAAAAGAATCCTGAAAATATGTCTTTACACACTAATGGTTACTGCTCTCATTTAACTACTGTAGAGAAACTTTTCGGCCTGACATCATGATGCTAGACTCATGGAGAGCAATACATTGCACCTTCTTGGCC